CACCTTCACCTCTATTTGATTTCACTCTTGCTGGGAAGGAAGATGCAAGAATACTAGCTTAACGAATTAAGAACCTATGTTCGCCCATTACAAGCAATTTCAGCATGAGGGAAACTTTATAAAGTTGTTCTAAAAAACGATGGTATGAACAACTAGCAAAAACACACATTTTGTGGGGTTTTCGAAAATTTCAATTACTGAAGTGCAAAATATGTTATAGTTACAAATATGTTTATATCATAAAACTGTTTTACATTTGCCTGGGCCTTTTTTATTGCAGTGCTTCTGTTTTAGCATTGCTTTCTATTTTTGTTTTAAGGATAATCATTCAGAGTGTGCCTTTTTGCGAGATTAGTAGAAACTTAACACAACAGCACATAAATAAATAACTCAACAGGTAATGGAAAAACTGAATGTAATATATTTGATTAGAAAATATTTTGAATAATTATTCACTTACGAATCTGTTTTGCTTGAGGAAATCTAGAATTTGAAAATTTAGTACATTGTGAAGCCTATTGATTGGTTTGTGCTGGTGCACTTACGCAAATCTATACCGGTTCTTCATCGCAACTTATTTGTGTATACACAAAGAACGTATCCTGAAGGAAAAACTATTCATAACAGCAGTGCATTGTGAGTGTCAAATAGCAATTAGATGTTTCAGTTGACTTCAATATGTTTTAAGTATAATAATACAACAAACACACATGACCCTTATAAACAAATCATGGCATGAAATAATTACATGCAAAGTGCTTTTTCTTCTTTTCTTAGCCTTTCTTTTCTTTGGACTCCCCAAAGGAGCTGGTATAGATGAAAACATCAAAAGTCCACAAACAATTTCACGATAACAACTAAAGTGAAGTGGTGGAATCAGAAAGATGAGACCCCATAGGTGTGAATCAGATATTTTGGACCCAGCCGCGAAAGCTTCTGTTCAAAGTGGTGCACGCGACTCTCAAATCGACACTAAGCAAGCGAATTGATGATTCTGATTTTGTCAGTGTTTGGAGCTGTTCAATCGCGTAATAAGCCAGGAGGCTCTATTTGCGTCGATATATGAGCAATGGATGAAACATGAGGAGGCTCCATCTGCATTTCACACCGAGGTCCAACGACGATCGACCTCCTTGTGAGTGTGAACGCATTGATGAACACTAAAAATGCGCGAAAACTCTTCCTTTTTATAATACGTTGGCTGTCGAAGAATTACATACATGCGTCTTTTGAAGGTTAGAGACTGGGGCTTTATGGATTTAATGCTAGTACATGGCGCCATCTATGCGTAGCCTATGAACTTTTCAGTCCACCCGTTATAGCACCATACTCCTATATATTTTGAGCTTTCACAATGTTACTTTTGTGATAGTTAATAGATTGCAATCAATTAAGATGTTCCTAACAATTTTGAGAATAGGTTCCATATCACTCCTTTATTTTTACATAAAATTTATTTCTTTATTATTTGTTTTAAGGGCCATGTATTTGTTGATCTATTATAATTAAAAATATATTATTCAACTGAAACATCCTGACTGCTATTTGATAAAGCATTGACTACAAATATAAATACCATCCAAACGTATCGCGTATATCAGCGTATCGCATGTTTATTAAAAAAAAAAAAAAAAAATATTTTTCAATTTTACAGGGTAACATGTATTTAATTTCTTCATTTTTTATTTCTTTGATGTTTGCATTGTATCTTACAATTACTTCCTATTTCTGTACATTTTTTTTTTTTAATTTTAAGACTAATTTAGTTTAAAGTTAAAAGTTATGTTAATGTTATTGGTTAATTAACGTGATGAGTAGTGATTCAACAATGTAATGTGGTTGTTGTTTAAAATTTAAATATTACCCAACATAAATTTTACCCTTTAGAAAGTACAGTTATATAAACTATTTTTTGGAGTAGCTATATTTTAATTTGTAGAGTCCAGAAAATTAGTCTTCTAGTGAAAAAAAAAGAATTTCGTCCACTTTGTGGATAGAAGTGGAAGTAGCTTTGTGCTGCCATCTGCCCCTAATATTTGCAGATTATTCTGATTAAATAATTCTGTTTTTGAATAAAAAAGAAAATGTATTATTAAGACTATATTTGGTTTTGTAAAAATGTACAATATTAAACAAATTAATAGATGCGTGATATCAAATTTTTATTATTGAATTAAAATATTGTAAATAAAATTGTTATCCTTTCCAAAATATTTCCTTACAGATGCATTTATCAATGTCATATTAAAAAAAAAAATAATAATAAAATAAATAAATAAATGAATTAAATTTAAAAAAAAAATTAAAAACGGACCTACAGGGGAATAAGAGGCTTATCTTAAACATTATCAATTTGTACATAACTATTACAGTAATAAATTAAAAAAAAGGAAATTGAGGAAAGGAAATAAAGGGAAATAATGTTAAAAATATCAAGTGCATTACAAACTGAAAACTATAAATACACGTATCAGGCAATAAGTTTCAAAAGAATAAATATAGTGACTAAATTTTTAAATATTTTGTTATCTTCTTAGTTTACTTTACTCATAATATTTAAACATCTTATAGCAGACAAAAGCATTTCCCAATTTTGTTTCATTGTTTGCTCAAAAATAATAATATTATCGGAATTTTAAGCATTATATTAGTGAAAAATAATAAATCTCTACCACAAATAATTGTTTATGAATTTTATGAAGATATTTAGATTATATATATATATATATATATATATATATATATATATATATATATATATGAAAAATTGAAAAATTAAATTATTTTTTAATCTGCTGTACTTTTTGTAAACTAAACTATTTTTTTGGTTTTTTTTTTTTTTAAATCAAACAAGTCTATTTATTTCCCCTAATGTATTATGTAATTAATAATACCTTTTTGTTTTTCGATATTAATATATGTTTTGAAAAATGTTTTATTTTAAATTTTTAAAAAAAATATATACCTTAGATAGAATATTTATGATTATATAAACCTTTTTTCAATAATAGCCATCCGTTATTATTATAAAATATACCTTATGAAAGCTGTATTAAAAAAAATCTTCTTTATATTAATTTTATTTGTTAAAAATTTCAGTTTAATAAATTTTTGAAAATACCTACATTTTATTTTCTTATTTATGAAATTTGTTTCAGAAAAAAATAATATTTTAACTATATATATTTGCTTAATATTAATAAATTATATAAATGGCAAAGTCATTTTAACTAATTAATTTTTCTTTGTATTTCTTTAAGAAATTTATTTTCAAAGTTTGTTATTTTCAAGTTGTTGGTTTCTGTTAATATTTGTTCCGCCAGATGGCGAAACGGGAAGTCAAAGTTTGTTTATTTTTCTGATATGTTTTAATTATTGAAAGAACATATGAAAGATAGTGAGGAAACTAAAAATAATTAAATTTTGTAATAATGTTCAGGAAAAAACTGTATTTTTCCAATATATGGTCATGAATATATATTCTTAAACTTCTATATACTTAAGAGAATAGCACAGAGGATTAATATATAAGAATTACATATTTGGAGGTATATATTTATTATATTTGATACTAATTTTTGATTTTAAGCACAGTTTTTAAACATATCCTAATTTTATTTTTTATTATATTATATTTTATTACTATTATTATTATTATTTTAGAAATAATAAAATAAATAATATTGCTATTTTTTTTTAAAAACTATTGTTCTTAATACAATTCTTATTTGAATAAAAGTTGAATAAAAGTTACAATCATTAAAATTGTATTAGGAAACAAATTAAATAAAATATAAAATTTTAATTTAGTTAATTAAAATTAATTAAAATACATAATGATTCTTTTTTTTTTAAGAGAAATCTTACAAACTTGAAGAGATTATTATTTTAAGGAATTCCTTAATTTATAAAATAATGATAATTAATTAATTTAAGGACAAATTTCCTATAATTGTCCTATATAGAAATGTTATTGTTGAAATAATTAATATGCATTAAATTATACATGAACATTTATTAATCAGTATCACAATAAAATTACAGTATTCTTTTAAAAACTTTTAAAGAATACATTTTTGTTTCTATTGTTTAATTCATATTTTCTGTTGAAAACAGAAAACAGATGTTTTATAATTATTTCTCTTAAAATAAATTATGGCACTTTTAACCAGTATAGTTTGTTCTTCAATGCTAAAATCCTCCAATTGATAACTTAATTTTTCAGCTTTAAAGCTACGATTTTATAATAAACGAAAAAATATCTGTTATAGTTTGATGCTCTATCGTTATTATGTGCACACTTTTTAGGTTAATTAGATCGGGACCTACAGTTTAATATGGATTGCGAACCATTCACAAACATCCATACCACCACCAGGATTCGAACCTGAAGTCTGTGGTTATAAAACCAGACCGCTAGCCAACTGGCCATCAGGTCGCTCTCACTCGGAGAGTATTTCGCGCATCCTGCGAATTTCGGGTTTTCAGCTTAGAAGTGGAGTCTTTCCACGAAACTATAATTATCATTCTTTAAATGCATTAAATATTGTATGTCTTTAATTGCATGTGTGGTGTTTGTGCGTGTGTCATTAAAGCTGCGAGTTCTGTCAACCTGGGCCTCAAATATCTTAACCAACCACACTCAGTTGCAATCTGGTTAGCTTTACTATTTCTACCGCAATTCCTTAACAAATCTAAACTATAAATAATGTTGTTGTTGTTGCTTCTTATCCCACTTGGCTGGCCAAGCCCACGAGCCCATACGTACTCATGATTGAAGGGGAAGGAAGTAGCTTCTGTTGTGATGGAGCACCTGGGTAGGTAGAAGCCTGACTTTTGCTCCGTGACGCTCTTACAGTCATAGGAGACCGGGACCTACGGCTTAAAGTGGATTCCGAACCACTACAAGCATCCATGGCACCGCCGGGATTCGAACCAGAAACCTGTGGCCCCGAGCGCCAGAGCGCTAGACACTCGGCCATTCTGGTCCCAAATTTGCCAACGGCACACGGTGTTCCCAGGTGGTCACCCACCCACACAAGTACTGACCGCGCCCAATGATGCTTGACCCTCGGTGGATCTGGCGAGAACCGGTATATTCAGCATGGTACGGCCGTTGGCACTTCCTACTATAAATAATTCAACGAGCAATACAACAGAGATAAATAGTTACAAAAAAAAGTTATCCAGTAATAGTTAAATAAATCAAACGAAATCTACTAAATATCGGTCGTTTAATTTTTTGAATGACATTTATATCTTTTAGAAATATGAAAAGTTGGATGACACGCCGAAATAGTTCACATCATAAACGAAATTAAAAATCTTCCTCCAAAGAAAAATGAAATAAAAATATATTCTTATCTAAAATGGAATAAATATGTGGTAAAGTATTTGGTTCTATCATTTTCCGTAAAAGATTGCTTTCGCTTTTATAAAGTAAAAGTTTTTTTTTTCTTTTCAATTTCATTTTAAAAGTAATATTATAGAGCACGTGTTCGGTCACGTGATCTCTTTTCATGGTTTAAGTCACTGACTTGATATTAAAAGAACTTTCTCTTTATTAAGTCATTCGAAATCTGCATTATATTTATCTCTGCTTCAAGTTTTCATCTAAAGTAATAATCTTAAAATCTATTTCCTTTTTTCTGTACAAAAAGTAATATTACTTTTAATACGGGCTACTTTTTATATGAGGGTTGATTTTAAATTGATTTAAAAAATCAGCCCTCATTTTGAGAAATAGTTCTAATGCATTGTACTAAACTTTAATGTATATTTAACGATTCCTGAAGAATGTAAATCTAAAAATATAAATTATAAAATGAAAGCGTTAACCTTTTAAAAAATAAATAAAAATAATCTCATCTATATGCTAGATATATAAGCGTATTGTTTTCCCCTTAATTTATCATTCACTCAGTTTTCATATTTTGTAGACAAATTTCTGCATTTAGTGCTCCGTCGGGCCTGATGGGCCGACTGGCTAACTTTCTATCGTTCGGTTTCCCAGGGTTCGAGTCCCGATGGTGCTATGGATCTTTGTAGTGGTTCAGAATTCTTTAAAGCGTAGGTCCGGTCTAATACGATCGTAGAGTGTTGTGGGGGTTGTGTTACTGGCGTCTGTAATATGTCTTCAAGCTACACATGCCCCCTGGGTAGTGTCAATTTGACACAGTTCTCGGCGTAAAAATATATATATTCTGGTGTGCAAATTAGGTTTTTTGAATGGCAACAACAAATGCAACACTTTTCTCTCTTTTCAACACTTTTCTTTTATAGGGGTACGCTGCTATCAGCAATATTGCAACGTACCAAAATTATATATGTTAACAACCGATTGGCAACATGCATACATATTTGTTAATAACAAATATTGTAAGATTTCGAAGTTATTTGGCGTATTTAATAGTTTATTTTATTCAATCTCTTACATATGGAAAACACAAAATATCACATAAAAACAGAAATATATTGAAATTTGTTTTTTCTGATTATATCTTCAATGTTAAAATCTTCCGATTGACGAAGTAATTTTCAGCTTTAAAATTACGGTTTTACAATAAACGACAAATATACTTTATAATCTGACCTTCATGGCCGAGTGACTGGCGTTCGCTGCCACAGGTTTTGGGTTAGAGTCTAGGCGGTGTAATGTATGTTTGAAGTGGTTCGAATCCACCTTAAACCAATCCCCGGTCTAATATAACCTTTTTTTTTCTATCCGAGTCAAACCTATAGCCTACAAACCTGAGTCAAACTGCATTCGACCACGCTACCACTGATCCAATATTGCATCGTTTCTTTCTTTTTTTCAATATATAATTTGAGTTTAAACAAAAAAAGTTTTTTTTTTTTACTATTAAATTATTATTATTATTGTTTTAATTGTCAATTATTAATATTTAATATATAAATAATTCAAGAAGCCATACAATAAAGAATTAATAATTTATAAAATAAAAATTCTGCATTAATAGGTAAACAAATCAAACAAAATCTACTAAATATCGGATATTTAATTTTTTGAATGACATATATATCTTTAGAAATAATAAAAGTTTGCTAGCTCGCCAAAATAGTTCACATCAAAAATGAATTTAGAGATCGTCTTTCAAAAAAAAAAAAAAAATGAAATAAAAATATTTTCTTATCTAAAATTGAATAAATATATGAAAAAGATCTGGTTCTATCATTCCCCGTAAAAGATTGGTAAAAGCTTTTTCCAATGTCATTTAAAAGAAATATCGTAGAGCACGTGTTCAATCACGTGGTCTCTTTTCATAGTTTAAGTCGCTGACTTAATATTAAAAGAACTTTTTATCTTATTAAGTCATTCGAAATCTGCAATTGAAGCATTATATTTATTTCTGCTTCAAGTTTCATCTAATGCAATACTCTTAAAATCTATTTCCGTTTCTGTACAAAGAAGTAATATTACTTTTAAAGCAAATTGATTTAAAGTAAGTTCTCATTTGAGAAATAGTTCTAATGCATTCTAAAAGTGGTATTAAACTTTAATGTATATTTAATGTCATTCTGAAGGATATAAGTAAAAAAAATAGAATTTAAAAATGTAAAAATTAAATCGTTAAACTTTTTTTTTTTTTAATTTTCAGTTATATACTAAATATATAAACATAATTTTTTTGCTTCATTTTTCGTACTCTTATTTTTTTTTTATTTTATAGACATATTTCGGCCTTGAAGTTTTTGTGATGTAAATTATAATTTTTGAATAGCAACAACAAATGCTACAGTTTTCTATCACTATATCACTTAATCATCATTTCTTCCTGTAGAGATTTTTTACATTTGCCAACAATATTACCAACATAATGTGTAGAATTATATTTGTTAACAGGGGACTGAGGGTCCTGGATGACAGAGTGGCTAGCACTCTGGCGCTCGATAACGCAGGTTTCGGGATCGAGACCCAGCGGTGCCATGGTTGTTTGTAGTGGTTCTGAATCCACTTTAAAAGTAGGTCCCGGTCCTAATAGGATCGTAGAGCGTTGCGGGGCCATTGTTACTCCATGTCCGGGGCTTATCTTCAAGTTACACGCGCCCCCTGGGTAATACGAAGTGAGTACGTCTGTGCAGCACTTGCCTTAAGCACTTGTCTATGCAGCACTTGCCCGGAGGTGTCATAGATATTTGCAGTGGTTCGGAATTCACTTTAAGCCGTAGGTCCGGTCTCATACGACTGTTGGGCGTAGAGCTGACAGCCATATCCCGTAAAAAGAGAAACATCTCTCGTCTCGAAATCTACCAGTAGTTAAATGACCTTGGCCCACAATGGACTGTTGCGCCAATGATGATGATCAGGGAACTGATGGCCGAGTATCTACAGCTCTGGCGCTCTGTACCATAAGTTTTGGGTTCTAGTCCCGGTGGTGCCATGGCTGTTTGTAGCAGTTCGAATCCACTTTAAACCGTAAGGAACGTTAGATTGTAGAGCTTTTGGGGTAGTGCTACTCGTCCGTAGCATATCTTCGAGCTACACGTTCCCTTGGTGGCTACACGTGCTAAATGAGTAACATCGATGCAGCTCTTGCTTATGGCATAAAAGTAACTGTCTGCATTGTCAGCTGCATTGGAAATAAATATATATATATATATATATATATATATTTGTTATCAACCGATTCGCAATATACATAAATGTTTGTTAGTAACAAATATTATTAAATTTCGAAATCCTCTGGCACGGTTAATGGTTTTATATGATTCAATCTCGCATGTACAAGAAACATAAGATATCATATAAAAAATAGCTACGTTGAAATTTCTTTTTCTGATACTATCTTTAATGATAAAATTTTCCGATTGACGAACTGATTTTTCAGCTTTAAAGCTGCCATTTGATAATAAACAAAAAAAATATATAATGTAATCTGCTTTGTTTGTCGCTCTGCTCTCATTATATGTAAACTTTAGGCTAATTAGACCGAAACCTATAGCTTAACGTGTGGATTCCGAACCACAAACCAATTGATTAGCAGAGCGCAACCAATTGGCCATGAGGCTGCTCTTTATAGTCTGGATCTTGATGGCAGAGTGACTGGCGCTCGGTGCCACAGGTTTCAGGCTCCAGTCCCGGCGGTGCAATGGATATTTTCAGTGGTTCAGAAACTGTAGTTCTCCGTCTAATATGACTGTTGGGCGTAGAGCTGAACGCCCTCCCAGTAAAAAGAAAACATCTCATGTTTTGAAATCCGCTTGTAAACTCACAATGGGGCTATTGCGCTAACGAAGAAGATAGTTTACAGTCAAAGAAGTATTTCAGAATGGTGTTGATTTTATAATTAATATACTTTTGGGGGACCTGATGGCCGAGTGGCTAGCACCTGGTGCTCGGTCCTATAGGTATCGGGTTTGAATCTCGGCGGTGCCATGGATGTGTGTAGTAGTTAGGAATCCACTTTTAAGCCGTAGGTCCCGGTCTCATATAACCGTAGAGCGTCACAGAGCCCAATTAGACTTCTTCTCACTCATATCATTCCCAAACTGTCAAGGGGCAACTCAGCTCTTGGCACAGTGATATGATGTAGTAGTGGTAATTAATATATTTAATTTTTGCATCATTACAATGATCTTATTGCCTGCAAAATCTTCTTCTTTTCTTGGATTACATTTATAAAATAAATAAAAAAAACTTCAATTTTTTTTTTTTAATTAAAACTCTTTCTTTTTACGTCAGACAAAATTCTCGTTAAATGCTTAGGTGTTATTGGATTTTTACAACTATTTTTCAGTTTTCATTAATGAGAGTACTTTAAATACACTCTACGTAAATGTCTGATTTGGTGAATTCTTTTTATAAATTAGAAATTTAGGCAACTTCATGATGTCTAAAAACACAAGGAAGAATTACTCTTATCTTACTGGTTTTAAACTTGAATTTCATCCAACTTCTAGGACAAATCTTCGAAGGATTGAGAAATAACCTTCTAAACAAATAAAAAAAACATTTGTATGGAAGTAGCAGTAAAACTTATTTATTGTGAGAACTGCATCAAATGAAAAGGTGATTTTTTTTTTCTATTATCCTTTCAAGTTGTATTGATCTGTCGTCTTATTTTTCATGACAAAGAAATATTTTGAAAAATTACTAT